GGCCAAAACAGTCCCCATCCTCAGACACAAATGGATGTGTCTCTCACACGGAGACAGCGCACATGATCAGGATGGGTACATCCTCATCCCGCAGTATCAAGACTTGGAAAAAGGGCAGAAAACGCTCACTGCCCTCACCTGGACAGACATGCTGGGAAGAGGCCCCACCTCCAAGAGGGTCCAATCCAGGAGGTGTTGGAGCTGAGTCCTGTTTTCCCTTCACCTGAGGGGGGTGGAGGTTGGCCAGGGTGTCGCTGGGGAGCCAGATGCCAGAGGTCCCTGTCCTGGGGTAATTTGGGATGTGGACACAGAGATTCTTACCCAGCCCTGAAATAGAAGTGCTGAAGAGCTTGGGAGCCAGAGAGGCGGGAAGGAGGGGGGCGGTAGGCCTGCCCACCTGCCTGCCCTTCCGTCTCCCTCGGGAGAACGCCAGCTGGAGGGTTCTTCTTCCTTCCTCCTGACACAGCCTGAGAGATGAGTGTCACTTGACCTCAGGGCACATTCCAGAATGAGGCCACAGCCACGAATAGGACCCAGGAGCCCTGCCACCCATCCTGCCTATATTAATCACACATTCCCAGAGCGGGAGAGAGACTTTAGACTCCTGGAGGAGGTGGGAGGAGGAGGAGAAGGAAGAAGAGAGGGTATCAGGAAGTAGAGCTGGGAAAAAGCAGGGCAAACCCCAGGGAAGCCCCTCCACAGCCCTGCAGGCTTCCAGTGCGCCTCGGGGCCCTTGGTCCCAGGACCCATCGTTCCTCCAGCAAGCCCCTTGTCCCTTTGTTGAGCCCTGGGGACTGGGCCCCTCTCAGACCTCCGGGAGCCCCCAGGCAGTGCTTCCAGCCTGGGTGGTGCACGTGCAGAGGGAGACAGACAATGGAAGGGTCTTGCTGCCTCTGGGGGACAGCGGAGGCTCCCCCGGGGTGGGGGGGGAGCTGAGTCTGGGAGGGTGAGTGGGCATAAGACTGATGTAGGCCATGACCGCTTATATGTGTGAGCAAAATGTCGTGTCACGTGGCAAGGTCAGAAGACAGCCCCGGGGTGGCTGATGGCAGGCAGGCTCTTGGGAGATGTTTGGGGTCCTGATGGGACTCCACACTGTCCAGCCCAGAACAGGGTGTGTGTGTGTGTGTCACATACTGAGAGAAGCCAACTGCCTGTGTTCAGGTCTTGGCTTTGCCACGTGGCAGCTGGGTGATCTTGGGCAAATCTCTTGTCTCCTCCAGCCTCAGTTTCCCCACCCACATAATAGTGTTCTGTGCTATAGAGTCGTGATGGAGACAAGAGATGATGTCTGGTGCCTGTCCCATGGTGAGCGCCTGCAAAGTGCTGATGTTATAACCCGACATTTGGACCCTGGGTGCTCCCCGCCCCGCACCCCCCACCTAAGGAAATCACCATGTGGCTGTGTGTTTGTTCTCCCCCTTTCTTCCTCAGGTTCCACCCCTGGTCCCTGCTCTCTGGCCCCACTGTCCAGGGGGTGACGTCAGACTATGGAGCTGCTGGCCAAACAATGGAGCAGAGTGTCCTAGGAGGCTCGAGGTGCTGGGGGAGGCGGAGGGTGGAAAAAGCCAAGCTGTCCTGCCCCAGAGGCCTCGGGCTGGTCCGGAGACAGCCGGCGCCAGACCAGGCCTCTGAAGAGGCAAACAGAGATGGACTGGAGCGGGAGCAGGACAGGGAGGGGAGCCACCAGATGCAAGGAGGGAAGGAGCAAGTGTGCAGTGTAGACAGGAAGGCAGGTGAGTCTGGCCTCAGACCTGTAGGGGCGGCTCCATCCCCCTGTGTCCTGGGGCCCAGGCTGGGGCCAAATCTCCCAAACTGGGTGGGCAGCCTCCCCAAGGTCCCCCAGCAACCAGACCCTGGGAATTCGGTTCAACCTCTATGGAGCACCTACCAGAGGTCAGTTACTGTGTAACACCTGGGTAACAGGGATCAGAGACTCAAGCTTGGTTTCAAGGACAGAGAAATACATGCCACGTCGTAGTAGGTCCAACATTATAATAGATGCCCATTCCCTAAGTGCCTGTATCTTCTAAAGCCCAAACATGCGGGGTGATCCTTCTGGATGTGCTCTGCGAGTAACAGACTAAAATACCCGCAGCCGTATGTTCACTGAGGGTGAAATCCCAGGCCCAGCAGGAGGAGGCGAGGGCTTTAGGTCCCGGGGGCCTGCTGTCAGCCAGGCGGTTGCTGAGGGCCAGGAGGGCGCTGGGGCAGCGCTCTGTGCCAGGCTCTGTCCCCTAGGCTTTTCAGTTTGGCAAGGTTAATAGGGCCAAGCGCCCCCAAGTCTCCAGGAAGTGCACTTACTACCCTCTGTTTTACGGATGAGGGGACTGAGACGTGGAGAGACCCCGGGGAAGCGTCAGACCCAGGTGGGTCTGGCGGCACCAGCTGGGCTTTCTCCCTCTGCCGGGCTGGGGCTGGAGTGGGAAGGACAGGGACCCCAGGAGCTGCGAGCTGGTGAGGAGGAGCCCTGACACCGATGTCCCCTGAATGTCACACTTCCACCAGGCAGCCACAGGGCTTAGGCCCCATGTCAGTGCAGGAAGGGAGATGACAGACGCTATAGCACGTGGACACTTGACCCATCAGGCTCTAAGCTAGTGTGTTACTTACTGGGCCATCTCAGCCTAGAAGCAGGTGCAACAGAATGTCCCCAGGCCTCTAAGGCTGAGTCCTCACCTCCCTGGTTCTCTGACCCAAGCAGGGAGGGGCCCGTGGCTAGTACTCATACCTTCCTGGCGGCTAAGTGTTAGTGTTCAGCATTTCCCCAAAGGTGACTTGAGAAGCTCGCACTCCTCTGGCCCCGGAGGAGCTTGCCTTCCCCATGCTGGCCCCCTCCTTCTTGCAGGAATTGTCTCTAAGGAGGGATTGGCTAGACCGGGCCAGGCTGGGTGGGGCTGGGTGTGCATTCCTCCTTGGGGCAGTGGCCCGGGAAGACCCAGGGAAGTGGACAGGGGACAGGTGTCTCTTGAGCTTGGCTGGCTTGCAGCCTGAGGGCCAGACGAGCTGTGAGGCATGCCGCCATGGCCACAGGCTCCTGAACACATCTCCAGGGATAGGGAACCGTCCCAAGCACCTGAGGCCAAAGGTGCTGCTGTCTCCATCCTGGGAACTGAGCCCTGTGCTCTGAGCACGCCTATGGCTTTGCGACCAGGCCTCACCCAGAAGCCCCCTGGGGAGCTATAGCTGGGTGGCCCACCTCTTTCTGCCCTGCTCATGTCTCCTCCAGCTTTGTGCCTCTCAACACAACACCATCAGTGACAGGGTCCGGAGTCTGCCCCTGGCCCGCCATGCTGTCGTGACGGGCAGGGGGCCTGAGACATAAGTTAGAATATTTGGGCCTAAGTCCCCAATCTTCCTGCCTCTGTGTTCTTGGGAGACATTTCCTGGCCTCTCTGGCCTTAGCTTTCCTGAGCTGGGGAGAGCACCACAGTTAAGGAGCCTCAGAGCTCCAAAGTGGGGTGAATGTTCGTGTCCCTCCATCACCCAAATATGGTCCTATTGGCCAGACTTCCCTCCTGATCACCAGAGCAAATTACACACACACTCCCCCCACCACACACACTCATTAACCCAAACAAATCACACAAGAAGGGCTGTTGATACTATGAATTTTTAATTGGTACCTTCCTCCCTACATTGGAGGAAGAAACGAGGATGCCCCACAATGATCTTTTCTCCTTTGGAGGGGCCTGGACAGAAAGAAGGGCGGAGGAGGGAATGGGGGAGCAGATGTAGAGCTGACAGTGGCTTTCCCAAGTCATTTATCTAGTGTGTGTGTGTGTGGGGGGGTGGCTGGACCTGCACAGGAAGTCCAGAAACGAGAAGTCATCAACAAGCTGCCACATTCCCAAACATACCCTCCCAGCTCTCACCTAGAGCCTCCCTCGGGTCCCTGCAGCTCCCAAGGCCACCACCAGATGGGAGCATCGAGCAACATTCCTTTTCCTTCCCAAGCCTGACACCCGTCCTCCCTCCCTTCTTTCACCCTGCTCCCCATCCCAACCTGGACTTTCCCTTTATCTCCCTTCCCACCAGAACAGATCCTGGGGCTTCTATCTGCCTTCTGTCCAAGGAAGCCAGTGGCAGATGAAAGCACACTGTCCTTTCAATGGGACCATTTGACAGTTGGGAAGGCCAGCCATGGGTCTGCTTCCCGGGGGGGGGGGGGGCAGGGACCCTGGGGGCTGGACATTCACATTCAGTCACCAGGAGCTGGGCATTGACTAATATCTGTGTCCTAGCACCTGGTACCCAGAAAGTGTTCAGAAAATGTCCATTGAGTCGGACTGAACAGAGCTAAATTAATACATCAACAATCAATAAACCAACCAATAAAGCCAAGGAGAAACATGAAGGATGTGTATTCTGCTGGTGCCATGGTGGCCTCAGAGACTGCAGGGCCCACTTGACCGAAGCACGGGCTGACCACCGCCTCAGGACAAGGGGTGTGCCGGGTCAGACCATGCCCTCCCCCCGCCCCCCGTCCCCCCCGCTCCCTGCGTCCCACAAGCTCTAAAATGAAGTGGTTTCTGCTCCTAGTGATCTAGGGGGCTCTGGGGAATTTGTCCAAAGAGTCCCTGGTCCCTCCTTTCTCTCCCCACCTACAACTTTTGCAAACCGATTCATTCTGTGATTCCCATGACCGTGCATACGCCACCTCCGAAAGCCTGGCTAGGAGCTGGCTGGGGGCAGGGAGAGCCAGCAGAGGCGGCTGACCAGCACAGAGAGGGTCACAACGCCCCACCGACTGGTCATCAAGAATAGCTTGCAGGTGTCTGGTGGCTTCTCCTTTGGTCCCCCTCAGCTAAAGAAGATACAGACCCCTTCTTGAGCCCAAGACTAGAAGTTGTTCTAAGAACCTCCGGTGGATTTTCCCCACTGGCCTACAACTGTCGAGCCTGACCTTGCCCAGTTTGTGGACTGAGGGGCGTTGGGGGGTGGGTAGGTGGACGAGGGCCGGGGAGGGGGCCGGGGAGGGGCGGAGGGGGGGCGGGGCTTCAGCGCAAGCCCAGAAACTCCTTGAGGACGTCGCAGGTCTTCTTGTGCAGGACCTCACGCAGCTTCCTGACCCGCCGGCTGCTGGACGCTCCCACGAAGCTCTCCGGCCGCAGCACGGCCATGCCGCCGTCCACCTCGCCCATGATGATGAGTGGCGTCTCGCCCGCCGTCACGTTGGGGCAGGGGCAGCTCCAGTCCACGTGGAGCAGGGTGACCTCCAGCGGCTCCTGGCCCAGGAACTTGAGGCCCATCTTGTCATCCTTGAGGACCTCGTCCACGGTCACCAGGGCCCGCCCCGCGTCGGGCTCCTCGGTCAGCTCGGACACGCGGCCCAGGATGACGAAGTCGCTCCGACAGAAGCTGGTGACGAGCTTCTGCCGCGGCTTGCAGGCCCGGCAGCGCTGGGTCCCCCGAGGGAAGGGGCAGGACTCCTCGCAGGCCTCGCGGCTCTCGAAGTTGTTGCCGTTGCCGTCGCATCCGCCGTAGATGAAGGACTGGCACTGGCCGGCCTGGCTGTTGTAGGCCCAGCGGGGCGCGTAGGCTCTGCAGGGCCCCTGCAGGGCGGGCAGGCTGCACACGGCCAGTGGCCCGCTCATGCAGGCCAGCATGCAGGCCTCGTAGGTCTCGAAGTGGTTCCGGTTGCGGTGGCAGTGGCCAAAGGTGAAGGTGAGGCAGTTGTTGGCCTGCGCATCGAAGTGCCAACGGGTCTGCTCCTCGCCGCAGTCCTCACTGTCGGGGGGCTCCAGGCACTCGGCCGCGGGGAAGGCCGTGCCGTTGGGGGTGCTCTCCAAGGTGGCCACCGCCTGACCGCCCCTGACCACGGACAGCGGGAAGTCGGCGCGCAGGACCCCGGCGGCGTTCCGGGCCGTGCAGGTGTAGATGCCAGCGTCCTGGGGCTGGGCGTTGTAGATGACCAGCTGGGCGATGTTGGTGACCACCACGTTGCCGCGCACGTGGTTGGGCCGCATGACCACATTCTCACGATCTTCCAGCTGCTTCTCCCAGGTGATCTCGGGCCGGGGCCGGCCCACCACATCACACAGGAAGCTCACGGTCTCACCCACGGTGACCGACTGGTGCACAGGGTGGTGGAGCAGAGCCGGGGCCGCCATATCCAGCCCCGGCGTCTCCGGGGAGGCCGTGGTAGGGTGCACGGTGGTCTCGGGCGGCGGGGGACTGGTGTTGGGCCACGTGAAGTGGTAGCGGCAAGTGACGACGGCCAGCGTGATGCCCTTCGAGCAGGCCTCGGCATCCATGTAGCAGCGGTTATAATAGGTGAGGCCGTCGGAGGCGCACGTGAAGCTGGGCTCCTTCTCACAACGATCTTTGCACTTACACACGGGCTGGCCGTCCCAGATGTCACACTCGGAGCCCTGCTGCAGACACATGAAGTGATCGCAGGTGGCCTCCTTGGGCATGCCCACCGGGCCCTTCTTCCCTTTCACGTCCATGTACCGGGCGGCCACACAGCTCTTGGTCCCGCACACGTTGGGGCAACACTTCTCATAGGTCTCGCACTCCTGCGGGGAGCCAGAGGGAGAGGCCTGAGCATGGAGGAGCAGGACGCGTGCCCCGGCTTCCCCCGCCCCCCGTGTCTGCGGAAGGGAACTGGTATGTGCTCACCACCTACGGTGAGCCGCACATTCGGATGATGACAGGAGATACGCAGCCCCTGCTATCTGCTGGGCCTTCTTCTAAGAACGTGTGTACCTGTCTGCTTCTCTCTTGCTCATCACAGGCCTGGGCGGTGGGCAGAACCATTAGCCTCACTTCGCAGGTAGTGATGACGAAGGCACGGAGAGGTGAGGCCACTTGCCTGAGGTCCGCTACAGCTGGTAGTGGTGTGAGGTGTAGGTGTGAGAGGAGGCAGGCCACGTACCTCCCAGAGGGGACGTTTCTCTGACTACCATTTTATAGATGAAAGTGCAGAGACTTGGAGAAGTTTCGCCCAAGTCCCGAGAGCGGGCAAGTGGCAGAAAAGGGCTTCAAGCTCCAGGTGGATGGGACTCTGAAGGGAGATCTCTTCTTCCACATCATAGGGTGACCACAAAGGAGGTCTAGGTGCGAACAAATGAGCCCTGCCTCTCTTTTTTCCACTGGGGTGAGGACGCCCTGGCCGAATTGAAGAGGTCACGCCAAACCCTAAGAAGGAAAAATCGGACACCTCTGGGACAGATGTTTGAGGCCGGCCACACACGCATCAGGAACAGCCGCTCCGTGGCGGGCCCACGCTTGTTCAGGGCCCAGGGGAAGGGCAGGCGGGACAGGCCCGGGACGCCAGGTCCCACCACGGAGGGCTGTGCCAGGCCCAGGTGCTCAGCTCTGACGTGTGCGACATTTCGTGGGGGACATCCACAAGGAAAACAGCCCCGTTGGGTGGCAAAGGTCAGCAAAGCCGTCAGCGAGGACTTACTAGGGCTGTAATCCCCCTTGATGCTCTGTGGAGCCACGTAAGGCATTAGTTTAATTCCTCGAAATTAGCAACATGCTCTGGGACCGACACAAACAAGGATTTCACGTGGTGTTTTCGACAATAACACCTCGTACCCACTGGGCAGGCGGGCAACGCTCCTAATCCTCCGTCCTGGTAGTAGCTCTGGGAATTGCTCCCCACTAGGGCTGGCCTCTTGTGGTTCCGACTTTTATTTCAGCCTCTTTGACATTCCACATCAGCTAAGAGGGGGAAATATCCCCCACCGGAGCTGTGTGGAGACTGCCCGCTTGACTTGTTTACTGTTTTCCCCCTCTCGGCTCAGAATGGGGACTTTGTTTTGCAGTCCTTGCTTGGCATAAGCTTCTAGGCCACGCCAGGGGAGGCTTTGGGACAGGGATGGGCAGATCTCAGAGCTGGGGTCTGAGGGTGAGAGACCCAGTGGGGGATAGAGGGCAGGAGAGACTGGAAGCAGACAGGAGAACCTGCTCTTCGGCCTGAGGGTCGTAAAATTCCTTAAGAGACAGGCCCAGGGAGCTCCTTTAGGACCCTGAGGTCCATGAAGGTGTGGGTCCCCAGAGTTGGGGTGGGAGGGAGGGGGGGAAGGTATCTCTGGGCCCAGGAAACCTAGAAGGAATCCTTAGGACAGTTTTTGCTTGAGGGCTCAGAATATACCCATAGGCAAATGAGTCCCTAGCCCCACACAGGTGCCTTTTCCCCAAGACATGCGACATCAGCCAGAGCCTCACTGTCCCACACCCTACCTGATTTATCAGGCCAGCCCATGCCAGTGGAACAGACTTCCCTGCAAACATAGCCAATGACCCTCATGACCTCAGCTGAATGGGAGCGCTCTGCCCCCGTCTTCCCTTTCCTCAGCACCACCACTGCTCACTGGCAGCGTCTGGCCTGAGAGGTCTGACAACTGTACCCTGGACACCGTGGGGGCAGACACCACTCTCCGCAGGGCAGTCATGAGCTTTTCTGTAGCCTACATGCGTTTGGCAAATGGAGCGTCTCTTCTATTCCCTGGTGCTGCCCAGCCCAGCCCTGAGCCCTAGGAACTGGCCGGGCCAGCAGGAAGCACCTCTGCCCAGGCAGGTGCTAGGTACCAGCAGGCTCTTCTTCATCACCCGAAGGGAGTGGCAGGGATGGCCCTGGGACTCGGGAGCTGGGAGAGAACTGCCCTAGCGCCAGGCCTGCGCTGCTTGCCTCAGGCTGTTCTAACGAGAGCAGAAGGGAGGACCGAGGAATCTGGCAGGTTGAAACAGTCCGCTTCCCTCCCAGGGATAACCAGGGGGTCTATTCAGAGCTGTTCCTGCCCACTCTCCCCATCAGCCTGGCCTGATCTCAGGGTCAGGGTGCGAACCCCTGTGGGCGGGGGTGGCCCGGAGGCCTCAGCTTTGCCGGAGAGACGCAGGTGCCAAGCCCACCCTCCCATCCCTGGCTGTGGGACCTCGTCATGCTCACTGCGATGTCCTGAGTGTCTGCTGTCACCTATCGAGGCGGGGCTGAAGGGTCGTGCCAGTCCCCACGATGTGCCTGGCCCGGTGCTGCCTCAGAGCCCCCCTCAGCAAACATGAGACCAGGAACCCCAGGATGAACTTGGATATATCACACCCACCTCTTCATCTGGGCCTCGGACTTGGACAGACATCACTCCCTGTTTATGTGGACTGGGGCCCAACTTCCTTCCCGCTCCCAGATCCTCCCAGGGGTGGGGGGGGCTCCTGAGTCTCCCCAGCCCACGGCTCCCACTAACACCCTCACGTGGTCCACGTCAGGCTTCCGGATTCCCACTCACCTGGTCCGTCTCACACTCCCGCTTGCAGGTGCTCTGGGCATCCACCCAGAGGTTGGGGTTCATGTCGTTGGGGCAGATGCCCGCATGGGAATAGCGGATAGGCGGCAGTGCCAGGCCCCTTGGGGGCGCCCCGAGCAGCAGCAGGAGAAGTGCCGCCTGCGCCCAGCGGGACCAGAGCCGGCAGCACCCCAGGGGCCCCATGATGCGGTCTGCGGTGGCTCGAGACCTCCCCTGCGACGGGGCCAGGGGCTGGGGCCCACCGGGGCCTTCTCCTTCTCTGGGCTGCAGACACCTGCCCTCCCCACCCCGGCGGGCTTCCTCGCAGCCGCCGCGGCCGCCTCCACCAAGTCAGTGGAGCCCGCTGGGCTGCGCGGCTTCAGATAAAGGAAAGGTCTTTGCAAGGAAACTCCCTCTCCTGAGTGTGCAGGGAGAAGAGCCGCGGCAGGGGCCCGAGCCTGGATTTATATCCTGGGCGCGCCACCCGAGTGGGAGCGAGCTAACCTGATGCCTGTCACAGGCAGGCTGCTGGCTCCTCTGTCCCGTGGCTGATCACAGACTTGTTGCAGAAGGGGGAAAAAAAAAAAAGCTGGAAGCGGTTTAGGCGGGCGTATCTGGCACGGTGGGACACCTGCTTGTTTTTGACTCCAGGAGGCCTTTAACCCCTTCAAGGGCCAGAAATGGCATGTGCTTTGGGGGGGAGCTGGCTCCAGGACACGCAAGCTCCCTGTAAAGGAGCGGTTTGTTTCCCTTTCCCCCACCTCCTCGGGCCAGGCCCCCTCCTCCCCGTGGCCACCTCTGAAGAACACACAATCGCTTGTTACAAGGAGGGACCTGCAGCCGCAGGGTTAGCATCGCCTGGCCCGATAGTACATTTGAGAGCAAATGACGTGGAAAAACAACAAGTTCACGGCCATTCCAGGGCGGGCCTGAGCAGCAGTGCCGTGCCGGGTCCGCCGCCTCCCACCCCCGCACCAGGTCCCTCTGCGGGGCTGCTGGGGGGGGGGGGCGGGGTGCGCACGGACAGCTCCCTATCGCTCGGTCCCCGGGCAGTTCGCGTCTCAAGTTCCAACTTTGGTGAATTTTCCCCAAATCATTCCAGAGACACATACCAGATATGCTCCGGCTCCCCCAGCTGCCGGGACGTATCACATTCCTCGCTCCTCGATTGACACACTCGTCAGCTCCAAGAAAACCTACGGGGTGTCTCAGGACGGCGCTGGGCAGCGGCCGCCCTTGCTAACCACCCCTGGGCCGGTGCCTGAGCTCTGTTGTATGCCCGGCACCTCGGCCGTCCCCTGGGTTCCCCCACTTCACAAGGGAGAAGGCTCAGGGCCAGAGAGGGCCAGCGACTCGCCCAAGGTCAGCCACCGCGGGCAGGGAGAATCGTCCCACTTGCTAATACTTACCGGGTTCCTGGTGTGTGCCGGGCTCTCTGTGTGCATCACGACACTCCATCCTCACGACAAACTACCTTCATTGCTGAATGGCGGAAAAGACGCCCAGAGAGGCTAAGCCACTCACCCCCCGTTGCACAGCTATGGGATGCCGCCGTTAACACGGGAAATGCCAGTTTGCGGGGTGCGGGCCGGGGCCTTTGGACCCCCCCCTCCGCCCACCTGGCTGTCAGAACTGCTGTCAAGGTACAGCTTCAACTCTGGTTTTTACAGGTGGGACAAGAAGTTTGTGGAAACATCAGATGCTGTATTGGGGGGCACAGGGAAAGAGTTGGAAGCGGCCGTTGGAGGGGGTGGGGGGCCATTTCTCTCCCTTATGGCAGGAAATGTCAGGTACCTCAAACACTACCGAAAAGTGAGCTGGCGAGGCGTATTTGCATGGGTCACTTGACCCCCAGACGGTGTGAGGGAGCGGGGTCACTGATCCCTGCAAGAGAGAGGTACCTTGTAAAGGCCAAACCACCGAGGTTTTGAGGAGCAGGAACTGAGCTGCTGCGTCCCAGGGATAGTAGATGGGGTGGGTCCAGCCCACATCAGAGCCAGGAGGGACCTGGAAAGTCCCCAGCAGTGTTCTCATTTCACAGGTGGGGAAACTGAGTCCTGAACGCAGGTCCCTCCTCTTCCAGGTCCACTCTCCCCTTGAGGGCTAGGATTCACCATCTCATCTGACTGTAAAAAGGCGGCACAAGGCTTCTCTCTGCCCTGCAGGCTTTTCCCCGAGGGGGGTGTGTGTTGCCTTCTCCCCACCTCTACCAAGTCTTCCCCATCGTGTGGATCATTCTGCAAGATCTGTCTTTTCTGCTTATGTCAAAGAGCTAATGAAGGGTGTCAGATCCTAATCCCCTAAATTATTGGAATAAACTTCCCTCCGAGGCCGGGCCCGGTAATGAAGCCAGACAGCGGGCGACGCCGGCTGCTTTGAATTCCCTGTAATTTCATAAACCCGTGTTCCCGCCGCTGGGAGCAGGGCCTCAGCCCCGCGCTTGACGAATGCAGCTTACGCAGCCTCCTTTGAAACCACAAAGGGGAATGGATGGTGACAAATTTCTAAGCAGGACTTAGAAAAATGGTCACAGCCCTGTTACGTGAGGACAAGTGTCCAGGGAGAGGAGGCTGATCTCTGGGGAGTCACCTGAGACCACTAGAGGTGATGATGGGAGGGCCTGGGGTCAGCCGGAGCCGAGGTGGCCGGCAGGGGGTGGGCAGAAAAGCAGGGGAAGCTCCCCCACCCCACCTGCTCCTCACTCGCTTGTTTTCTCTCTCTCTTCGGGGTTGACTGAGAAAGGCCTCGGTCCGCCCAGCTCGGCCCTGTCAAGAGCCACGGGCCTCCTTCCCGCCTAGGGCCCCATTTCTGGCCATTCCACTCTGAGAACTTTCAAAACAGCATCGGGGAAGAAAAGGGGCCTAGAACACCCCGGCTCTCCCTCTCAGCGCTTCCAAGTCTCCCACCAAAACACAGCTCAGAATAATAAATAACATCTGATCAGGGCTCGGAGCCCACACAGCGTTTGCACCTACATCATCCCGCTGACCCTCCCACCAGCCCCAGGAGGGAGCCTGGGGGGTGTCGCTGGGAGCTCCATTGTACAAGAGAGGAAACCGAGTCACAGAGAGGCTAGCTGGGCCTGCCCAGGGCCCCGCGGCTCACGCCCTGCCCTCCCCGCCTGGACCCCAGTCCTGTGCTCTTCACACAAGCCATGCACACTTCCAGCCTCCAGAAAGGCCCCCACTGGCCGCCCCGCCAACCCAGCGTGTTTCTAAGCTGTTCTGGTACCGCTTTGAAGTCTCCTCCTGGGCCCCTCCCACAGTTCCTCAGATCTGGCGGTCCTACCTCGGTCTGCACTGGAGGGTGGCAGGCAGCCCACCCTCACCACACCCCTGGGACCGAAGGGGGGGCTCTGCGGCCGGTTCCCACCGTCCCCCCGCCAGGCCTCCCTTCTGCCAGCATGAGCATCGGGGAAGTAGAGCCGGGGCTGTCACCTGAGCAGATGTCACCTGCCTTCCCCCCCCGCCCGGGGGACATCGGGCCCAGCGTGGTCACAAGAGGGCTGGGCTCTGCCTTAGACTCAGAAGAGCTCCCTCCCCCTCCCACAGGGAGCACGGCCCCTTCACACCCTCCAGGGGGGGTTCAAGGCCAGCTCTAGGTGCAGCTGCAGGAAGTGACCCCGGACAGTGGACTCTGCGTGACCCTTGACCTCAGGCTCACCCTTCACATAACAACTTCCCAGCCACTGGGGCCTGGACAGGACAACACAGCGGACATCGTTTTCCCAATCGGCCAGGCCTCTCCCCTCTGGAGACCAGTCACACGCGTGGTGGGGACGACGGGGGTGCCACGCCAGCCCCCCGGATGCCATGGCGCTCACGCACGGACCAAACCTCTTACCTCTCACAGCATCTCCTCCTCTTTCCTTACTTGATGGTTTTTAAAGCACCCACTATGTGCTTAGTACTCTGGGTACACAGAGGAACAACCGTCCTTGTCCACAGAGAAAACACAGCATGCAAACCCATGATAAGACTAGTGAAGGCCTTCTTGGAGGTCCCCACGAGCGCTGGGTGGGGGCAGGCAGGGGGAGAGAGGCCCAGGGCTGCAGACGTGAGGTGGGGTGGGTCCAGAAGCCTGAGCGGGAGTCTGCAAGACGGAGCACAGAAGGCGCTTTCGTCCACTCCCCCTTGGAAAGGCCTGGCCCACAGTGCGGCCTCCTTGGCCAAGGCCCTCCCTCTGCGGGGCCCAGGCCTCCAGAAAGGGGAGGTGAAAGGAAAGTCAGTAGGTTTGGTAGATGGGATGGGGGCGGGGCTGCAGGTCCTGCTTTTGCCTGGGGCAGCCCCAGCAAAGCCAAACCAGCAGCCTGTTCTGGTCCACGGCTTGGGCCCCCAGACCTGAGGCAGCCACACTTTCTCCCAAACGGTTGGGGAAGGCCAGCGCCCTGGGAACCCCCTTGCCCTGATCCTTAATTTCAACATATCTGGGAGGAGGAAGAACGTAAGGAGCAAGAATCAGGGTGCTAGGGCCAAAGAAGGCCCCAGCAAGAGTGCTCAGATGGGTTCTCAGAAGGCCCAGGCAGCCTCGGCTAAAGGCAATGATTAGTCAGACCCAAGCTGGGGAATTCAATAAAGCGGGCAGCTCATTACCCAGCTGGGGATCCCTTGTCTGAGCGGCCGCAGGCCTGGGTTACATTACAGGGCTATGTGAACTCTCCCCTCAGAGTGAGACTGCACCGGGTTTTGGAATAATTATGGGGCCTCAGCAGATGGTGGAGGCGGACAGGGGAGGCCTTCAGCTGTGGGACACGTGACTTGTCTGCGTCTGTGCAGAGCAGGACATGGGAGGGTCCCCACTGGGCCTCGGGGGAGGCAACACTGAATCCGGATCTGAGAATTACGGGGTTGGCTGTGGTCGGGCCTGGCCCAACCCCCTAGGCCAGCCAGGCCTCCTTAGACCCCCGCCTGGGGCCGGGGGGCCCTGCTGGGGGTGCCGAGGCCCTGGAAGCTGGTTGGTGTCTGAACGGATCTGTGTGTCATGAAGCAAGAACAGGAGACACAACTTCTGGGCACCTGTGAGCCCCCAGATGCCTTCCTGGAGAAGGTGGGCATCAAGGGCTCAGTGGATTTCAGCCCTGTGTCAGAGCCTTCGCCCACTTGGGCAGCAGCGTGCACTCAGGTTGAGCACTGTGTGAGGAGTCCTGGGTTCTCAGCCTGGTCCACCAT